TATCTCCTTTTTGTATTTTCCCCCCAGAAAGCATTGCTGGGTTCCTCATCTTTGGTCGAAAAGAATAGATCTCTGTTCTTTCTTTTTTCTCTCTTTTCTTTTTCTTTCTTTTCTGCTTTCTTTTTCTCTTTCTCTTTCTTTTTCTTTTTTTCTTTTTTTTCCTCTGCTTAAGCTGACCAGAATTACCACACTTGGGTGGAGGTCCCACGAGCAAAGAGGATTGGATTGAAACACCCGAATGTGGAAACATTGGGTGGAGGGCCCACGAGCAAAGAGGATTGGATTGAAGATCATTGAACACCCGAATGTGGAAACAATTGCCCGAAATAGAGCTGTAATAACCATGCGTTGTATTCGGGAAAAGATATATTCCCCACGGTAGCTAGGGGTAGCGATGACCCGACTTGAGGGAGGGACGTAGATGCCTTCCCGAAACAGATGCAGCTACACCAAAAAAAAAAAAAAGAAGAAAAAAAAAAGGGTAGCAGCTAACCTTATTGTATCAATTGATTGCGCAGGGATTCGAGCTCGTGATCGGTTCATTCTACACAGTTATCTCAGCTTATCTATCTGTAGATTCTGTACCAGTCTAGCAGATCGGCTAACATCTTCCCCGAATACAACGCACTGTCATTCTCCCTGTATCTAGAATAAAAGTTGCCCCACCACCGTGCATTCTATCCGGAGGAAGACGGCAGGTAGAGACTGCGCTACATCTTGTTTTTCTTTTTTTCACTTTTTTATTTTTTATGAAACCTATTAGAGCAGATATATTGCAGTTACTCTTAGGCAAAAGGCCGAGAAAGATTAAAAAAAACAAAAAAAAAAAGAAAGAGAGAGAGAGAGAGAGAGAGAGAGAGAGAGAGAGAGAGGTATTGCAGTTAATCTTAGGCAAAAGGCCGAGAAAGATTCAAAAAAAAAAAAAAAAGAACGAGAAAGAGAGAGAGAGAGAGAGAGAGGTATGGTCATTGGTCAGAAGGTAATTCAAGGGAAAACAGGCCGATCCGGAAGTGAGCTCCTGCCCTTGAGTAAAAAGGGCCCTTGGGCAGTGGCCATGGGCCTAGTGGATTACGGATTTGGTGCAAATAGAGGACCAGATTCGTTATGTCATACTACGAGGAGAGCAGACGGAATGAGAGCCGCCGGATCTATAAATAGATCGAGTGGCCAGAAGGCATTCTACCTGGCTGAAAGGGCTGAAAAATGTAACCGGCCAGCTCTTGGAGCACATGTGCTTTTTCCCTTTTTTCTTTTTTGTTGGGCAGCATTTTTTTAATCTTTCCTTTTGTAAAGGCTAAGTAGCCAAGCCGAGCTCATTCTCCGGTCGAAGCTGGCAGGATGACCTTTTTCTGGCCTTATGATTTTTTTTTGGGGGGGAATCTGGCCTTATGGTCGCTGTTATAGTAGCTGCGCCCTTTAATTTAACTAAGTATCGATGGATCTGTTTGCAAGTTCGACCCCTACTGAGTAAACGATTTTGTGGACGACGTGGACGGAACTGTTTGCAAATCCGGCCAGATTCCTTGCAAATCCCGCCAGATTCCTAAGTGCGAAGTCACAGCTCTGCCGGCACCTCTCTCTCTCTCTCTCTCTCTCTCTCTCTCTCTCTCTCTCTCTCTCTCTCTCTCTCTCTCTCTCTCTCTCTCTCCCCCCCCCCCTCCCCCCGCCCCCCCCCCCCCCCCCCCCCCCCCCCCCCCCCATATGTATGATCACTGAACGGACGGTGTATGCTGGATGGTTAGTTAAGTTACACGGGGGAGAGAAGAGAAAGAAGGCAATCATCTGACCGACCACCTTTTACCAGTTGTTACTCCTCATTCTGCCTCGAAGCGCGCGTGCGTGTGTGTGTGTCTCTGTGTGTGTCTGTGTGTGTGTCTCTGTGTGTGTCTGTGTGTGTGTGTGTGTGTGTGTGTGTCTGTGTGTGTGTGTGCGTCTGTGTGTGTGTGTGTGTGTGTGTGTGTGTGTTCATATTCAATCTCACAGGGCTTCCGACTGCCGTGTACTCCACCATAACAGTGGTACACCAGGTTCAGACATAAGACATATCCCATCACACGCTGCTAAACAGCCACTGATCCGAATTGCTCGTTTTTCATAGGGAATGACTACCGGTAGGATGAGAGAAATCTCCGACGTTTATACACAGTTCAAGGAAAAGAAGGAAGACGATAAGGTTTCCATCTGTCAAAAGAAGGAAGGACAGAAAATAGTAAATAAGGGAGATGATAAGCGATGAAAGCATTCCAAATATTTGTCCAGGGAAGTGACCTCTTCTGACTAATACAGTGAATATTGAGTTTGGCCTCTCAATAGGGGATAATTGGTAGAACCAGCCCACGCCGAAGCCTATTCGGTTTCGGGCGCTCAGAAAAACCTGGGCCGGTACTATGCGCCCACCGAAAAGTGAAGGGGGTATTTTCGTCCCGCCTTAGGTCGGTTTTTCTGGGCGCCCGAAACCGAATAGGTTTCGGCGTGGGCTGGTTCTACCAATTATCCCTCTCAATAGCCTTGTGGGCAGTGAGTGGTAGTCGTTTATGGATAGATTAATACATGGAGATTATAGCTCCAAGTGCCCAGGTCACGGATGCATTTTCGTCCGTACTTGAATAGGTATAGTGCGGCAGAAATCCTGCGAGTAGGGGCAAATTCGGGCTATCAAGACATATGAGTATGCAAAGAGGGAAGGAGCAGAAGAAGTGGAAGGAAGGGGAGAGGGAAAAGAGGGGTGCACGCATACCAAGAGAGGCTCAGAATGAGAGGGAGCACACACAGAGAGCAAAATAATAGTATAGTACCAATACAGAACTCGCCGAGCCACAGTTTATAAGTACTTCCACAGACTTCGTACAGGTGGCTATGTTAAAAAACGAACCGGCATCACTCATGATCACCGCTCTCTTACAACGTGTCGTCAAATCCAGACCTCCCAATCGTATATCACCGAGCATTAAGTGCACATCGGATTCCACAAATCTCGCATAAGTATCCACGTTTAAAGACGAATCTCATCACCACGTGCGTTCTATGCGTCGTCAGATCCACAACCCCCACTCATCAAGATATTACATGCACTCTCCATCATGGTAACCGCCCGGACGTCCGGACCGGGTTCCAGACAGTCTGGTGTCTGGTCCCCATGTCCGGATGGAGGCCCCTGGGGCAAAAATCAAAAAAAAAATGGGGCGGCCCAGGACGTTTGTCGGGTCCTAGCCGCCCCTCGAAAAATAACGGGGTGGTTTTTAAGTGTCCTTTCACCTCACCGGACACCGGACATGGCCTAGAGGTCCAGACACAAGACACTGCAGGTTTTTGAGGTGGCGGGTTTCGCGCAGGCCCGAGCAATTTCAAAGTGGCCGTTTCGACATGGTGCCCGCCGCTGCTGCCCGTTGGGGGGGAAGAGAGAGAGAGAGAGAGAGAGAGAGAGAGAGAGAGAGCACTGACAGTGTTGCCAGTCTGAAGACTCTGACGTTCTGAATTGAACTGCAAAGTTCAAACTTTTGAGTTATATATGAAGTTATGAACTTAAATTACTAAATCCAAATTACTAAATCCAAAGTTCAAAGTTCAAAGTTAATCATACTTTTTAATTCTCTGTTTCTTTAGTCTTGTGCCTGCTTTGCACTGTTTGCAACTCTGCATGTCTGCTAGTTAAATGTGCTGGTTGATTTGCTGCAAGACACGTGC